ATAAAGAACAAACCAGATAAACACAACATAAATGAGTCTCAAAAGCAGTGTGCCAAGTGAAAGAAAGTAGAAACCAGACTTAAATGCTTGTACTGTATGATTCTATTCTAGATAAAAGATAAAGTTAAAAATCACATTAGTAATTGTCTGGCTGGGAGTAGAGGGAAAGATTGACTAAAGAGAAGTGAGGAAGAATATTGCGGGGGGGTGCTGAAAATGTATATCTTGTTATTGTAGAGGTCTTTACATGACTACATGTGTCTGCCAAAATTCATCCAACTACATATAAAAAGGTAAATTGTACTGAATGGAAATTAAACTTCAATACACTGATTTTTTAAAAGGTAGATTTCATCACTTTGCTATTCCACTTCTAAAACTCTATTCTACAGAAATATTTGCATAAGTTCAACAAGGTATGAATAAGAGCATAAAAGAATGTTCAAGGTAGCAGCCTTTGAAAGAGGGTTGGTATAAGGTTGGTTAAACAAATTGTGGTGCATCAACTTAATTGTACTACTATACAACTATCAAAAAGAATAAAATAGACAGGTAGTAACTGACATAAAAAGCGTGCTGCAAAACAATATTGTGTAGCAGTTTCTGTTTTTGTAAATATAAGTCTAGAAGTACGCATACAATTATATATTCATTTTTAAGTAGCTTTGAGGAATACACGCCAAAGCCAAACTCTTGCAGATTATTTATTTTTTTATTTTTAGGAATTGAATGGGGGGTGCAAGGGCTTTTTGGTTATTACTAAATTTGCTTTTGCAACGTCTGAAGGGGTTGGCAGGCAGAGAAGCATATAACTTTATATTATTTTAAAAATTGGGGTGGGGCACAGTGGCTCACCCACGTAATCCCAGCACTTTGAGAGGCCTAGGCGCAAAGATCGCTTGAACGCAAGAGTTGGAGGCTGCCCTGAACTAGGATTGCACCACTGCACTCCAGCCTAGGAGACTGTGCGAGATCCAGCATTAAGTAAATAAATAAATAATCTGTAAAATACAAGTAATAGTCACTTACATAGGACTCCAGAGTCAATGTTACATTCGGCGCTGACCACCTACTGCGTTGACCTTAGTGGTGACGGTAGTGTGAAGACTGTGAAAAAAGTAAAAGGTAGAATTTCTACCTGCAAAGGATTTGTCGTGCTTTGCCTGGCCGAGATGAATGTTCCGCTGTAAATGCTTTGAAGTTTTGACAAGAGAGGTTGGTATATGCTGAAAAGGCGTTAAACAAATTGTGGTGCATCAACTTAATTGTACTACTATACAACTAATATCATGAATAAAATAGACAGACAAGAGTGAACCGAACGAATACAAGTGTGCTGCAAACAATTATCAGTGAGCAAAGTTTGCTTTGTAAATATGAAGTTCCAGAAATGCAGGTGTAAGATAACTTTACAATTATATATTTTGAACCAAAGTAGCTTTGAGGAACATGCACAATGCCAAAGCCAAACTCTTGCAGATTATTTATTTTTTTATTTTTAGGAATTGAATGGGGGCAAGGGCTTTGGTTATTACTAAATTTGCTTTGCAACGTCTGCTGGTTGGCAGGCAGAGAAGGCATATAACTTTATATTATCGATTTTTTAAAAATTGGGGTGGGGCACAGTGGCTCACCCAATGCAATCCCAGCACACCCTGAGTAGCTTCAGCGCAAAGATCGCTTGAACGCAAGAGTTGAGGCTGCCCTGAACTGGCATTCCGTACCACTGCACTCCAGCCTAGAGACTGTGCGAGATCCAGCATTAAGTAAATAAATAAATAATCTGTAAAATACAAGTAATAGTCACTTACATAGGACCCAGAGTCAATGCGTTAAGCATTCGGCGCTAGTCCGCACGTCTACCGTGCTGACCTTAGTGGCATTTTGGGTAGTGTAGAAGACTTGTGAGCAAAACAGCAGCGTGAAACCTCTACCTGCAAAAGAGGATTTGTCGTGCTTCATGCCTGGCAGAGATACGTGGGGTGGAAGTGCTATGCCATGGGGTGGAAGCCTGCGCTACGGTAAGAGAGGCAAAGTGTGTTAGTAGCGTGTTCAGCAACTGGCAGAGATGGGGGGTGGAAGTGCTAAAAAGTACGGGGCGGGGGCGGGGGTGAGGTGTTAGTAGTGTCTGGGCAAAGGAATTGGGAGATCTGATCTTCGTCCAGCGGGACCATTTGGGTAGCCCTTTAAGGATCTGAGGAAAGATTCTTGAAATTCATGGGTTCGGAGATTCTCTGGTGACCATCCAGGAACCTCAAGGTAGGACACTAAGGTGGGATTGGGGGATGGAATCTCAGAGCAAAGAGCAGTGGGTGCGCCGACGTGTAATCTTTACTGAATGCGTTCCCAGGTCCTTCTAGGTTTAAAATGTCTGAATCAGAAAGACCAAAATCTAAGAATCGGAGTCCAAAGCAGGAAAACAACAGAGTGAGGAAGATTTACTTAATAAATATTCCTCAAGCACCTCTTACTCGTTGGAGTGCGCAGTGAGAGCAGAAGGTGCAATCTGGGCTGGCCACGCAATGGGTACTGTGCTTCCCCACTCTTGGCAGAATCTTGCGGCCCGGACCTTTTTCTTTCGAGGAATTTCCTTTTTGATCCAGATCTAATTTCTTGATTTTTGTTTGTTCGTTTTGTAGAGACGGAGTCTTGCCAAGTTGGCCAGGCTAGTCTCCAACTCTTGGGCTCAAGTGATCCTCCCACTCGGCCTCCGTAATCGCTGGGATTATTACAGCCAGCCACCGGCGCCCAGCCTGTTGGTTTTTCCTCTTTTGCACCTCTAGTTCCCGCGAACTTTAAATACCCTGGCTGACAAAGCGCGCGCTGCCAAAACCGTGTGTTAGGTGGAAGTTGAGTTCCCCCTCCGCTTCAGTTTCTATTCTGAGCTCTGCCATTCTCTCAGTTCCTGTAACTGCTCTCACTCCAGCGAGTCAGTGGTAGTAGGAATGCTTGTAACCGCAAATGCAGATGAAATTAAAAGATATTGTTTTGTTTAATGCTTTGCAATATGATTGAAAAACCTGGTTGCAATGTATTTCTACAAAACATACCAGACAACCTTTAGAAGAAATGGAAAATCAAACATACCAATTAGAATAGAACAAATAAAAGTTGTCAACAGACTTCCCCTAGAAAAAGCATTAGACCTAACAGTTTCACAGATAAATTTTAATAAACCATTAAGGAACAGAGAATTTCAATGCATTTAAAATGATTCCAGAATGTAAAAAGCAAAGAGAATATTCGATTTTTTTCAGAAACAATTCTAAGAGTGATCTCAAAACTCATGATAATTACCAATAGGAAAACCCATTTTTCATTCTTTCTTATGCAGAATCCTAAATAAAATGATAGTGTGCTCCAGCAGCACGCTAAAGGAATAAATAATTCACAATGACAAAATGGAGATGAGCATAAGTATTATTTAAAATAGAAAAATATTTAAATGTAATTCACCACATTAGCATACGTGAGGAGAAAACGCATATAAGGATTTAGGTAAATGTGGAAATGGCATTTGGTTGCATTAAGATCCATTTTCTTAGTTGTAATTTTTGAAACTTTTAATAAAAGAGTATAGCTCCTTACTTCACATTAGAAAACATATCTAACTTACATCAACGGTCATCATCCTGCTTTTCAGAGAATACATTATATGCATTGCCTTTGAAATTAGCAACAAGTTAGAAAGACGTCCACTTTCATCACAAGAATTTTGTAGTATTTTGGGTTAGTCAGAATTATTTAAATAAATAAATTCAAAAGAAGGAGATAAAAGTATCATTACATTAGATATATGAAGGTACACAGGATTTATTTATGAAATTAAATATATTTATACAAATAAATAAGAGAAATCACTTGCCTTCCTACCCACACACACAATGGAAGAAAAGACCCCATTTACAGTAGCAACAAAAGAGATAAAACATTTACAATAGCAACAAAAGAGATAAAACATTGAGAAATAAATTTAGAAGAAAATTACAAGATGAATATGAAGAACACTTTGTCAATCTTCTCTACAAGTTAGTCTACATATTTAACATAATGCCAATACAAATTAAAATAGAGTTTTGTTTTCAAACTGTATATATTGCTTCTAAAGTTTATATGGAAAATAAACAACATTAGTAGCCAAGTTCCATATAAACAACAAGTTTATATGGAAAATAAACAACATTAGTAGCCAAGAAAATTCAGAAAAAAATAATGAGGTCTAAATACCTTTTGGGTATTTAGACTTATTTTAAGGCATAGCGAATAAAACATTGTAGTACAAATAGGATAGAAAATCCAGAAGCAGGCACAAATATTTAAGCATTTGATAAAGTTGACATTTCAAGGCAATGGAGAAAAGATGAATTATGCTATAAAGGGTACTGGAATATCTAGATAGACATCTGAAAGAAATAGAGCATAATCCACATCTCACAACCAGGAGATTCAAAATTTAAACAGAAAAAAAAAATTCCCATAAAAAATAAATAAAAGAGGGAATTTTCTTTTATAGTTTTGGCATGAGGGAGGTCTTTCTAAGTATCACAGAAAACCTAGAAAACACAAAAGATTATTAAATTAAACCACTTAAAAATTTAAAATTTCTGTATAACAAAAACCACAAACAAAGTTAAATAGAAAAATTCTGTGTTTATCACAAAGGACTGATTTCCCTAATACATGATAATCATACAAGTCAACAAAAGAAATACTATCACAGGCCACCTGCAATGACTCATGCCTTAATCCTAGTACTTTGGCTGAGGTCGGCAGATCATTTGAGTTCAGGAGTTCAAGACCAGCCTGGCCAACATGGTGAAACCCTGTCTCTACCAAAAAATACAAAACTTAGCAGGGTGTTGTGGGCACACCTGCAGTCCCAGCTACTCAGGAGGCTGAGGCATGAGAATCGCTTGAACCTGGGAGGTGGAGGTTGTAGTGAGCCACGATCACGCCACTGCACTCCAGCTCTGGGCAACAGAGGGAGACTGTCTCAAAAACAAAAAGAAACACCATCACAAACAGAAAAAAATGGAAAAGACATAAACAGAAAATTCACAGGAAGGAAATATGCATGAATACTAATTCATTCAACCTCATTCATATTTAAAGAAATGTTATTTTCTCACTCCCTTGCAGCATCCTGATGGCTGCTCTTGGTTGGAGGCCATCTGGCACCTAAGGCAGGAAAATGGTGGCTACAAAGAAAACGAAAAAATCGCTGGAGTCCAGCAATTCTAGGCTCCAACTTGTTTTGAAAAGAGGAAAGGATGCGCTGGGGTACGAGCGGACTCTGAAGATGATCAGACAAGGCAAAGTGAAATTGGTCATTCTCGCTAACAACTGCCCACCTTTGAAGAAATCTGAAATAGAGTACTACACAATTTTGGCCAAAATTGGTGTCCATCACTACAGCAGCAATAATATTGAACTGGCCACAGGATTCGAAAAATACTACAGAGTATGCACACTGGCTATCATTGATCCAGGTGATTCTGATATCTTTAGAAGCATGCCAGCACAGACTAGTGAAAAGTAAATCATGCAAAAATTTCCTTAAATAAACTCGCCAGAGCTTGTTTTTTAAAAAATGTTCATTAATACCACAATAATATGCCATTTTTTACCCATCAGACTGTCAAAGATCAAAAACTTTGGTGAACGTGGGAGGGGAAATAACTTTCAGGTATTGTTAGAGAGCTGTAAATTTTTATAACTACTTTGGGGGCAATCTAGCAGTATGTACACATTTTTTAAAATTATATAATATATAATGCTTTCCATACAAACTTAAAATAATCTGGAACAGTAGAAACTCTACAGATTTCATAAATCTTTTTGTTTTGTTTTTAAACTAAAAAATCTCTAAACATGCTAATGTCCCATTCCAAAATATTGCACAACATTCCGAATACAAACCCCTTGATTATATTCTTCCTTCACTAAAGAAAAAAGCTCATGACCCTGCTCTCCTGGCTCCTCTCTAGGCTTGCCTCAATGCCCCCTTCCCATCCCTAGAGAGAAAACTAGAGGATCCATAGCTCACTACATTGAGGAAAAGACATCATTCCAGACTAACAGTTTACGTTCTTCACAAGATAATCCACCTTCTGATTTGTTCCTGGGAAAGAGGGATAGATAGAGACAGGATGGGGAAAGTGGAGAAAAGATTTTATTCTCTTTTCTAAAGTTTGTTTTTCCTGGAAAAAAAAAAATGTTTCTCTCATCTTTTTAAGGAAAAATCTTGAAAAGTAAAAAAATATGTTTATTGTGTTAGAAATATACATCTATTATACATACCTCTTACATTTTACAAGTATAGCAAATTATTCAATACAAATGGACATCAAAAAACATAAAAAATTTTTAGAAAGTTTTCCTATGAAACCAGGTAAATTAGTACAGGTTTCTGTTTTTGTTTTCTTAAAAAAATAAAATTGAAGCAAAAATGCCTAGATTTGAGACAAGACAGATTGAACTGGGCTCTAGAGCTCAGCACTGAAGTCATGCTCCTGAACACACAATTTTCCTCCTATTTCAAAAGACACGAAGGGATTGGTCACCCCTTTCTCCCTGCATGTGGTGAGAAACAAGCTGACCTAGATGTTGGTGGATGCCTGTGTGTGTAGATGATAGGAGGGCTAGAAGGGGATGTAAGAGAGCATCCAACCTTTCCCAGAGAGAAGCTATCTGCTGGGCCTATCACCTATGTGGGAGCCATGAATGAGGGAGAGTGTGGCCCAAACTGGGCTGGCCCCTGAGAAGTCTAGGGGAACAGATAGTGCTGGGCTGAGAAATCGGGGCACTGCCTGCTGGGGGAAGTAGAGCTAGTGCCCACTGCAGGGAGAGAAGGCTGGCAGTGCCTGCCTGGGCTGGACCCACAGCCACAGCAGTTGCCCACTTGAGGTCCCTGGGGAGGATGGAGTGAGTGTGGCGGCAAGGGTTTTGGCGCTTTCTGGTGATGGGACCCTGATACCAAGTGCCCCACTTGCCAAAGAATAAAATGTTTATTACCCTGCTCCCCTGGCTCCTGTCCACGTCTGCCTGGCCTTCTAGGGTTGGAGAAACAAACCCTCTTCTAGCAAAGGCAGAGGAGCAAACACTCTTCTGTGATCCAAACACGTCAGCTGGGAGTGCAGAGTCCCTGTCCAGGACACTACCCCTCACTGTATTAAGGTCCAGTGGGGTTAGGTCAGGGCAGTGAGGGGGATAGTAGGAAGTACTGAGAAGCTCTATCAGGCAGGGGCACAAATGTACTCAAATAACATCTACAACCAAAAAACCAAAAAGTATCCATTCCAGGCTCAGGGCTGCCCACTGCAGATGCTGATTCCAATATCCCACCCTGCCTCCCTTCTCACCCCCATAGGTGCTCAGGTGAGCAGCTTCCCACGGGGCTAAGGTCACACAACAGGAGGGTCGAAGTCCAGGGACTTCTCATAGGCATCAGAGGCTTGGGTATTCCCTTTGCCCTTCAGAGCTAACCTATTTTTTTGGTGGAGGTGGTCAAAAACAAAAGTGCAGATCCCTCTGCAGTCTGGAAACCAGTTCCTTCTGCAGTGCTTCTCTCTGGGAGTGTCTTAAGCTTAGCCATAGTGGTGTGACCCCACCACACACACTATAAAAGGACTGCTAATACTCCCAGCCCACTCCCCAGCCTCACTCATTAATAAGCATTTGTCGCAACCCAGAATCACATCTAGAGAGTAAGTTTCACATGGCTTGGAATCCTTTAAAACTGCACAGCAAACCACACACACACACACACACACACACACACACACCACCTCCCTACCCACAACCTCTGGCCCAGGAGAGAAGAAGCTGCATGAGAGAAAGAAAAGGCCATATGCATCAGTGGCTGGGTGGCCAGGGCCTTGATGATGGTCTGGGCCTGGAGGGAATGGTGAGGTGGGGCCTCAGGACAGAGATGACAGGAATTAAACTAGATAAAATGCTAACCTTCCTGTAGTCACAAACATCAGCTCTAGGGTGTGGGGGGTGTCAAGTGGCCAACTGGCAGCTCCTTGTGGCCCAGCCTGAAATGGAGTGGGGGCTGGAGTCAGGCCTATTTCGGTGGCAGGGCCTGAGAAGGCCTGCCAAGATTGGATGGCTTTGAGTGTGAGGATAGCTGGGTGACAGAGGCAGTGACACAGGCCAGCCTCTCCCTGTTCCAGGGAGGGTCAGGCTCCAGCTGCAGCTCTTCCTTCCCTGTGAGCTTGGACACACCAATCCTAAACCAGGAGTGTGAGGAGGAAGGGAGGAACAGGGAGCAGAAATTCATTTCTGGACCATTCTTAGCAAAGGAAGCCACCAATTAAAGATGTTATATAGAGAACTACATGTTAAAAAAACAAAGACAGAAAAAAGAAATATAAAACCCAAACCAACCAAATTACAGGCCGATGGGCGAGTAGTAAGTGGTAGGGGGTAAGTTAAACACATTTTGGTGCTTTGGGAGCCCCTCCCATTCCGTGCCTGCACTAGATCTTTTTTTGTAGAAGTGAGAGTGAGAAAATTGAAAATCTTCTTGTACATTTTTCTTTTCCTTTTTTTTTTTTTTTTTTTTTTTTTTTTTTTTTTTTTTTTTTTTTTTGGCCTTTCCTTTTCTTTCTCTCTCTTCTCTGTGGTCTTGGGTGCCTGGCCCCAGGGCAGGTAGACGGTCAGTTGGCCAGCACCATGGACTGGAACGGCTGACTAGGATATTGCATGGTGTTCAGGTTGTAGCTGAGGCCTTCCATGAAGGGTGGCTTCTCCAGGAAGAGGCGGGTGGTGCCACCTCCAAATATCTAGACCATGCAGAAGCTGCTGTTGTTGCAGGTGACAGTCCCACTGCCTCCAAAGGGGGATGGGGTGCCACTGCCCTAGCCATCGGCCCCATCAAAGAAGAAACTGAGCGAGTCGCCACTATTGTACTTGAGACTGTACGTGGCCTTCGGCGAGAGCTAGGATTGAGGGCCTGGTTGAGCGGGATGAAGTTCAGTGAATGCATAGACAGAGAAAGACTCTTGTGTTTCAACAAGCTGTTGGTGCTGAAGCGGGCCATGGAGGCTACTGTGGTAGCTGCTGGCCACCTGCCTCACCGCTGGCTGCTCCTCTACCACTTGCTGCCCCACCCCTCTTCTTTGTCTTCATGGAGCCTAATTTGGTGGCAGCAAAGGAGTCTATGGTGAAGGTGATGGGCTGGCGAGGCAGAGGATGAAGGTGGGGCTGGGTGATGGGAAAAGCATGGCGACGGGGAGTTGGACAAGGAGCTGTCCTGGCTTCCGGTAGGCACGAGTATCTGGTCGTCAGGGTTGAAACTGCTCTTGATCTCTATGTCCAGCTCTGGGGCCCCGCAGCCCTCACTGTCATCCAGGTACAGCACTTTCACTGCTCCCTTCTCGCCAATCTGGTTGGACACCTCGAAGGGGTCAATCCATATGCTTATCTCCTCAGGCACATTGGCCCGCACATCTTCCACTGCCAGGCCACTTCGCTTGGCGGCCAGCTCCCCAAAGGGGTCCACCATCTCCCCAGTGTGGACTTGGTGGAAGCCAGAGCCCTTCAGCGGTTTGTCAGGGTACCAGTGGACTTCTTATTTCTTTTTCAGAAGCGCCAGAGCAGTTTGTTATACAAGAGTAGAAAATGATGAAGTTCAGGGGTACTTTGATCTCAAGCTGCATGGTCCTTTCCTAGGCAGAGAATCAGCACAGGGCCGGTGCACAGCCTTGGGCTCCGGAAGGCTTCCGGTCTCCGCCGCGGCTGGGCGCTCTGCCGGCCTCGGGGCGGCTTCTCGCTCTAGAGTAGCCCTGAGCGCGCGGCGGAGGTCGCTCTGTCTTCCTTCCCCGGAGCTGCGCGGCCGGGGGCCGAAGTCCTTTTCGTCGTCGAGGGTTGGGGGACGAAGCAGGCAGCTATGCGTCATGACTCTCAAAAATGATTCTTTCAGCTCTTACTTAGGAGGTCGGGCGATTGGGGGATGGAGGGCTGGCGGGCGGCGACCGGGCGGGGAGAACAGACCGGAGGGTGGCCCGTGTCGAGGGGCTGAAGAAGCTCCGGGCTGTGGCCGCGGCGCGGTCCTGCCCTCCTGGCCCTGCGTCCCTCCAGCTGCTGGCTTTTCTCCGCGGAAGACCGCCACCTTCCAGCGCCCGGGCCCGAAGTCTATACATTTTTTAAATGTGCATATTCTTTGACGCAGGAATTCTACTTCTAGGAATTTATCCTAGAGACAGACTCACACGTATGTAAGATAATACGTGTCTGAAGCTCAGCAGCGTTTATAAATGGAAAGTGATAGGAAATATTAATAGCTTAATTGCCCATCAATAAAGGACTGGCTGCATAATGAAATAGTATGCAGCTGTCAAAATAGAGATGCAGCTTTGTATGTATGGCTACAGGAAAAATTTCTACTATTTCTGTAAAATCCCAGGGCAAAATTATATATAAATATTTGCTTCTACATACCTAAAATATCTCTGAAAGGCTGTATAAGAAATGAAGGCCGGGCATGGTGGCTTACACCTGGAATCCTAGCACTTTGGGATGAGGAGGGGAGCATATCACTTGAGCTCAGAAGTTCAAGACCAGCCTGGGCAATACGGTAAAACC